TACACAGCACATGGTCTGTCTGTGTGTCTCAGTACACAGCACATGGTCTGTCTGTGTGTCTCAGTACACAGCACATGGTCTGTCTGTGTGTCTCAGTACACAGCACATGGTCTGTCTGTGTGTCCCAGTACACAGCACATGGTCTGTCTGTGTGTCTCAGTACACAGCACATGGTCTGTCTGTGTGTCTCAGTACACAGCACATGGTCTGTCTGTGTGTCTCAGTACAGAGCACATGGTCTGTTCTGTGTGACTCAGTACACAGCACATGGTCTGTCTGTGTGTCTCAGTACACAGCACATGGTCTGTCTGTGTGTCCCAGTACACAGCACATGGTCTGTCTTTTGTGTCCCAGTACAGTGTTCCAAAACAATGAAGTTTTGAATTGTTTGTCCAATGTTTCTTTCATTTCTTTTGTTTGTTGTTTAACACAACACTTAGCAATATTCCAGCCATGGCGTGGTCTGGACCAGACAATCCAGTGATTAACAGCATGAGCATTGATCTGCGCAATTGGGAACTGATGACATGTGTCAACCAAGCCAGCGAGCTTGACCACCCGATCCCGTTCGTCGCCTCTTACAACAAGCATGGGTTACTGAAGGTTCATTCTAACCCGGACCTTCACGGGTATGAATTTTGAGAGGGAGCATAAGGTTAATTATTACCTACGAGGGCGAAAATATTGGGGTTAATATTTTTCATACGATGCCCTAGGGCAAAATATCACTCTGTCATGGTGACATGACGTCATGGACAATGCTATGACATCACATTCAATCTGTGATGTTTTACATGCGGCGAAGGCGGGTAGCCTGCCTATGTTTGAAAGTAGATTTTGGTTTATTTACCTCAATTTGACGACTTCGGTAATAAATAGAATATTATATTCATGCCCATATCATACTTTGTTTACGACACTTGTGCCTAAATATCGGTCTCACTTGGGAAATACCAACATTTAGGCACTCGTGTCGTAAACATAGTATGACATGGGCACTCATATAATATCCTCTTATTAAATATATCATTGAAAACATTCATTTTAGCAGCAATTCAATGAATCAGTTTTATACTAAGTGGATGGTGTATCACCCTCTGTTCGAAGAGAACTAAGTAATTTATGTGGCTTTCACACATATATATCATTAACAATTTATCTCTTCACATCTTCCAGGCTTTAAATATCTTGTCATAATATATGAATGAATGAGTGTATGAGAGGTGTGTATGTTTTCGTTTTATGGCATACAAATCTGTATTTCCTGCTACTAAAACAATTTATTTAGAAGTAACTCTCTGCAGCCTGTTCATGTTACCAAATTCATTATATCTATAACCAAAAGTATTTAAATTTAATGCTCAGTACTCTGGCTCCAGAGCAAATGCAGAAACATAAATGTCAGTTATAAAATATATAATCATCTTCATATACACACCTTACTTGATTCACCTGATACACTAATGCTGTGACAGACCAATTAACAGAGATGTGCCATAGACGTTACAGAACACATAGCTTTAAGTCAAGTAGTACAGGATGACGTGTTGACTTGTGACACTGCATGTCACAACTCATCTGTGAAATATACATGGACTTACAGCTGCATGTCAACAAAGACAACATCACACATCCACACTGACAGCTTTCATTGTCGTGTTACATGTCACACAGTCTAACACCAACAACGTTGTGAAGAGTTCATGCACAGGGGAACAGAATATGTCTCTGATTCATTTCGACTTTCAGGAGACTATCAAAACTGTATGTCATCACTAGGTCAATAGTTTGGACCGAAATCAAATATGTGGGTGCTAAGTGAGAGAGAGTGGGTGAGACAGTGAATAAGTGAGTGAGTGGGTGAGACAGTGAATAAGTGAGTGAGTGAGTGGGTGGGTGAGACAGTGAATAAGTGAGTGAGTGGTAGAGTGAATGAGTGAGTGGGTGAGAAAGTGAATAATTGAGTGAGTGGGAGAGTGAATGAATGAGTGAGTGGGTGAGACAGTGAATGAGTGAGTGTGTGGGAGCTTGAATGAATCAGTGGGTGAGACAGTGAATAAATGAGTGAGTGCGTGGGAGAATGAATGAGTGAGTGGGTGAGACAGTGAATAAGGGAGTCAGTGCATGGGAGAGTGAATGAATGAGTGGGTGAGACAGTGAATAAGTGAGTGAGTGGTAGAGTGAATGAGTGAGTGAGTGGGTGAGAGAGGGAATAAGTGAGTGAGTGCATGGGAGAGTTAATGAATGAGTGAGTGGGTGAGAGTGAATAAGTGAGTGAGTGCGTGGGAGAATTAATGAGTGAGTGGGTGAGACAGTGAATAAGGGAGTCAGTGCATGGGAGAGTGAATAAGTGAGTGAGTGCGTGGGAGAGTGAATGAATGAGTGGGTGAGACAGTGAATAAGTGAGTCAGTGCATGGGAGAGTGAATGAATGAATGAGTGGGTGAGACAGTGAATAAGTGAGTGTGTGGCAGAGTGAGTGGGTAAGACAGGGAATAAGTGAGTGAGTGCATGGGAGAGTTAATGAGTGAGTGGGTGAGACAGTGAATAAGTGAGTGAGTGCGTGGGAGAGTGAATGAATGAATGAGTGGGTGAGACAGTGAATAAGTGAGTCAGTGCATGGGAGAGTTAATGAGTGAGTGGGTGAGACAGTGAATAAGTGAGTGCGTGGGAGAGTGAATGAATGAATGAGTGGGTGAGACAGTGAATGAGTGTGTGGGAGAGTGAATGAATGAGTGAGCGGGTGAGAGTGAATAAGTGAGTGAGTGCGTGGGAGAGTGAATGAATGAGTGAGTGGGTGAGACAGTGAATGAGTGCGTGGGAGAGTGAATGAATGAGTGAGCCGGTGAGAGTGAATAAGTGAGTGAGTGCGTGGGAGAGTGAATGAATGAGTGAGTGGGTGGGTGAGACTGAATAAATTAGTGAGTGCATGGGAGAGTGAATGAATGAGTGAGTGGGTGAGCGTGGGAGAGTGAATGAATGAGTGAGTGGGTGAGAGTGAATAAATTAGTGAGTGCATGGGAGAGTGAATGAATGAGTGAGTGAATGAGCGTGGGAGAGTGAATGAATGAGTGAGTGGGTGAGAGTGAATAAATTAGTGAGTGCATGGGAGAGTGAATGAATGAGTGAGTGGGTGAGAGTGAATAAGTGAGTGAGTGCATGGGAGAGTGAATGAATGAGTGAGTGGTGAGACAGTGAATAAGTGCGTGGGAGAGTGAATGAATGAGTGAGTGGGTGAGACAGTGAGTGAGTGTGTGGGGGAGTGAATGAGTGGGTGAGACAGTGAATAAGTGAGTGAGTGAGTGGTCGGGAGAGTGAGTGTGTGGGAGAGTGGGTGAGACAGTGAATAAGTGAGTGAGTGTGTGGGAGAGTGAATGAGTGAGTGGGTGGGAGAGTGAGTGAGTGGTGGGAGAGTGAGTTAGTGGGAGAATGAGTGAGTGGGTGGGGCGGGAGAGTGAGTGGGTGGGTGGCTGGGAGAGTAGAGTGGGTGGGAGGAATGAGGTGAGTGGGTGGGTGGGAGAGTGAGTTAGTGGGAGGAGTGAGTGGGTGGGAGAATGAGTGAGTGGGTGGGTGGGAGAGTGAGTGAGTGGTGGGAGAGTGAGTTAGTGGGAGAGTGAGTGGGTGGGAGAATGAGGTGAGTGGGTGGGAGAGTGGGTGAGACAGTGAATAAGTGAGTGAGTGTGTGGGAGAGTGAATGAGTGAGTGTGTGGGAGAGTGAGTGAGTGGTGGGAGAGTGAGTTAGTGGGAGAGTGAGTGGGTCGGAGAATGAGTGAGAGTTCGTGGGCGGGAGAGTGAGTGGGTGGGTGGCTGGGAGAGTAGAGTGGGTGCCTAATCACCCAACAACAAGCAATACAGTGCTGGGGACCTGCTGTAAACAGGATCCATTCAGGTTTATCAAGGAGCTACACAAAACACATAAAAACTGGATGTAATTATGAACAGCTTTTGAAATTGACAAAAGGATTCATCATTTGACAAACCACAAGGGATGATGATACCAGAACTTAACACAATATGTTAGAAGACAAGAGTGTAAGAATGAACAATACAGCACAACTGCAGTCACACTTGAAGATAGACTCTAACACTGGCTTGACAAACATGTTTAGAGTCGACACCAATACATTGCTACAGCACACTGGCTATAAGGAAGTTGATGATCCATTATATCTGGTCATTACCTACACATTCAACAACTAAATGCCACTCACCATAACAACATTCTGTCATTAGAAGATGAAGTCACTTTTATACAAAACTATTGGGTTCAAGAAAGGTCACAATCTGGACGAAGCAAGCATATCATGTAAGGTTCTATTCCCATTAGTAAGTAAACTATCGACTGTTCTTGTAATTTCTTTGACTAGTCTAAATACACCTAGTTTTGAAAGTCCAGAATGTGGGATTGATACGAACCACCCTACGTCTATAATAGGACGGCCTATTATTTTTTTAGGTGTAGCCAAATTTCAATTAACATAAAGAATTATAAAATTAATTTTTTACAAAATCACTCCAGCCATGATTGATTTTGTTCAGCTTTATTTTTAAGACTGTGATGTTTTTTAATACAAATAGCAACTTCTGTGACTGAAGACAACACTGGGATTTCTGAACAAATCTTTAGAACTCTGCAATGGGTTATACCAACCCGTGATCAGTATAGTATGCTTTCATGATAATGACCAGGTGTACCATGAAGATACACAAGCACAAGAAGATAATATAATTATACAGAATGTGTTTCAACAAAGTAATAGCAAACAGCTAAACTATACAAAATAATTCTCCAAGTGTCAACTAGACACTGGGAGGGTCCACATATAGATATGACATGGGGATGAGGCAGCTAGTCCACCGTGATGAGAAGCCATGACAACTGTAGGGTATACAACAAACAGACGATACATACACACGTAACACATCCTATGTTGTGTTTTACATTACGATCACTACATCATGTATTTCAAGTAACAAAGCCTATTGTTGTAAACAACCTACCGTTGGGAGCAGAGAGACTTGTTGACTGCAGACAGGTTGCTGGTGTTGTTAAGGCAAGCGCAGTTATCTCCCCTTTGTAGTCCAGCAAAGAGGTATCTGAAAGGATTTGAAATGAAAAGGTTGAACTCTGATATACTTTTTATCAAATCATCATTTTTCTTACAACATCTCTGAGAGTGTCCACTCTATAGAAACAGTGTATACAGACGGTCCTATCCATCTCTGCATTATCAACTGTCAATATCAGCACCCATCCAAATACCTATAACCCTTATGACCAGAACTGAAATATCAGCAGCGAGTGAGTGAGTGAGTGAGTGAGAGAAAGAGAGAGAGAAAGAGAGAGTGAGAGAGCGACAGCAAGAGAGAGAGAGAGAGGGAGAAAGAGAGAGAGAGAGAGAGAGAGAGAGAAAGAGAGAAAGAGAGATGAGAGAAGAGAGAGAGAGAGAGAGAGAGAGAGAGAGAGAAAGAGAGAGAGAGAGAGAGAGAGAGAGAGAGAGAGAGAGAGAGAGAGAGAGAGAGAGAGAGAGAGAGAGAGAGAGAGAGAGAGAGAGAGAGAGAGAGAGAGAGAGAGAGAGAGAGAGAGAGATGTTCACAACTTTGATAAAGCCTACCAGAAAGGGTATGAGACTTCGGAAACCTCGACACACAATTAGAGTAAAACAGAACTAAAGCACATGATCCTAGATTTCCGGAGTTCCTACAGGAGTGAGGTTTTCAGTCATATAACTGCATATGTCAGTATGAGTGAAGTATAAAGGCTGAACAAACACTGAAACCCCCAAATCCTCACTGTAATTGTGGGGATCTATTCTGACCTGGAATAAACCACAAAACATACTTCAAAGTCCACAACACATATCACCCTCAATGCTCTTCTTATCCAAAATGAAATCATATATTCATGAAAACAGCAACTTTAAACATCCACAATGTCTTCACTCAGACTGTACAAATGTACAAATCCAATAAGGCCAATATTTATTTCATTTTCTCTTTTCTAGATCAAAGCTTCCATGAAATGTCCATCCATCATTTACAAGATAGCCATGGCAGACATCTTGATGTCAATGTGGACAGTTATCTAATCCAGCTCTTCCGACTAAGCAGCAATGTCTAAGAGCATTACTTGTATAAATGAGGGAATTCTTCTGGCAGTTCAATATCCGATAATCTGGGGCAACTAGGTGTCAGCAGTAATCTTCTGAGCCACGACTGTATCTCCTCCAATCTCCTCCCAATCTCCACACCCACCCTGCCCAAACCTGCATACTTCACACCCGGCAACCAGTCTGCTAGAATGTGTACACAGGTATGTGTAGGCCAACAAATAATAATAATATATGGGTTTCTGGTTTCCCAAATAGCCCTGAACTCAAGCAACCCACTGGAAATCCTAATTCTCATCATTCTTGAGTTGCACCATAGCTATATCACATGCAGCTTCTGTCCAAATATGATGCCATTTATGTAAATTTGTTCAGCTTGACCAGAACTAAACAAGTGCTTATCTATAATTGAAAGCAGGCTTTAATTAGATATGTGTTTTCCTGAAAGTTACTATTTTTCAAGAAAAATGTTTACTGTAAGTTATATTTCTCAAGAAAAATAATAAAAAACTATACATAACCCATGTTATGAGAGCCATCACACTTGCTTACCGTGTTTTACTGCACAATGTACATGAATTTCACACTCATTTCGTATAAGTCGTATTACACTTGCTTGTGTAATAATCTCCATTTATGTCATAGTGCAAGAATGTAATTATTGAAAACAAATGTGTAGAAAAATACATGCTTGTGAGCGATTTGGTTTGAAATAGGAAGCAAACTTGCCTACTTTAGGCCTTAAAATAGAAATTGCTAAACTGTCATACCTGCAGTGAACTGTGTTATACTTAACACATGTTGTAATCCTTGTTGACAGTAACTATAGCATCAACTAAATCATGATGTTTCTGTTGACAATGATGTCAATAGTGACAACCTTCATCATGATACTTGGATACTCTGGTTGTACTTCCTCACTTGTACTGTCACAATAGCCCTTGTCATTGTGATTCAGAATATCTGAAAATCCTTATTCACAGAAGGAAAATCCCTGGCTGGTTTCCTGCTTGTGTTTTCATTTCATCATTTCTAACGTTTACAACTCACATGTTACAGGAAGACGATGTACTAAGTCATGCATATGAACATGTTCATGTTAAGAGACCCGTGAAGATCCGGGTTAGAATTGATCTTCAGTAGCCCATGCTTGTCGTAAGAGGCGACTAACGGGATCGGAGGTCAGGCTCGCTGACTGGGTTGACACATGTCATCGTATCTCAATTGCGTAGATCTATGCTCATGCTGTTAGTCACTGGATTGTCTGGTCCAGACTCGATTATTTACAGACCGCCGTCATATATCTGGAATATTGCTGAGTGTGGGGTAAAACTAAACTCACTCACTCAAGAAGTAGATCATTGCTGAATTTTGTTATCATTAATGATAGGTTTTATTTACCTTTTCCCATGATGCTTCAGTAATGCCTCATTAACACATGACTTTCCACTAAACTGTGAGGTATCATCTACCTTTTTCCCTAGTTCTGGTTTCCATAACATATGTTTACAGATATATTATGCACAGATGTCTCTGCATTTACATCCTTGTTAAAAGCATATTTACCAAGCAAACATAATTCTCAAACCATTCACAACCATAAACATAATAAACTTTGTCTGGAGTATATCCTTTGATGGCCTTCCTAAACAATCCTGTAAAAGCAACACCAAACTAACCTATGTCCTACTCCATCAAAATAAATACACATGTTCAAACTTAAAACGAAATCTTTTTTAAAAAACCCCAGTAAAATGTATGCATGCAGTTGACTGTCGTTCCGTCCCGTCCCTGGGGGATTACAGACGTCAAGTCACCTACACATGAAGGAGCCCAGTGTCTGATGACGGGGGAGGGTACTTGGTACAGCCCTCTAACTACACAGGCTATTATATCAACTGTCAGCACCTCCTGATCACAGGAAGGATCAGGATACAAGGACCTGGAGAGACATGTACTCTCTCCTTCACACACTGTTAACTCGACCCCTTCCTTGTGTTCAGTTTTCAACCTAGGCTGGTTCACACGAGACTATGTCAGGGAATTATACACACTCCAGGATGTCGCTGCCCTTCATATTCATAGGGCGTGTCTCTGTGTTGTCACACGCTGATAATAATAATAATAATAATGATTAATCGACTGGCTTTGATCAACTTCCTGCTTAGTCCATTATATAACTTATTTTTTATTTCTTTGTTACACATGTGTATGTGTATGTGCGGCTGCTTGTACTAGCCCAATAAGCTGGTTTTATAGTGCTAGCCCACTGAGATGCCATGCCGCAGTGAAGCATGAATACCCCACTCAGACACATTATACTGAATCCAAGATGACGTCCTTGTTGTACCCATTAATGCTGAGCGCCAGGCAGGGACCAACAAGTACCATATTTTAATGTCTTTTGGTATGACGCGGTCGGGATCGAACACGCGACCTTCCGCTCTCCGGGCGGACGCTCTAACCACTACACCACGGAGGCGGTCAGATAGATAGATAGATAGATAGATAGATAGATAGATAGATAGATAGATAGATAGATAGATAGATAGATAGATAGATAGATAGATAGATAGATAGATAGATAGATAGATAGATATGGACGTCACACATTGTACCCATGTGGAGAATCCACTAGACTACCCCACTGCCCCGCCTTCATAACAACCCTGACAATATGTACAGAAATGGTAAACACACAAAAACACAATTCACTTCTTAAACACTTGCCTTCAAATGTATGTACACATAGTTTTCAGCTATGCAATGTTCTATGTATATATCAGTTTGGAATATCAAGTTTGTACAGATGATTTGTCACCAAAGCATGCTAGAAGCACCTTTAGAATACAGCACCACAATTTCTCGGGAGGACGATCTCTGCCGTTGGTCACGTGTCATTAAGACAAGCAACAAGTTTGTGAGAACCCGTCCGGACGCGAACCCCCGACCTTCGGATTGTTAGCTCAACAGCTAACCGACTGAGCTACATCCACACTGTTACACAATGTGCAAATTTATCGAGTCATTCCTGTGACGTCACGGAAATGAACGGAAAGAGTCGAATATGTCACGGACAATTACGAAGATTACAGGTAGACTTGGTGTCTCGAAATTGTAATCTACGGACAATTGCCGAATGGACCCGATACCATTTGCCACACTCGCCCCATTCCGTAATCTACAAGATGTGGCGTGGAATGAGCCGATATGCCTCAAACTTAAAAGGGTTGTTGACGTCAGGTGTCAGACGTCGATTTCAGGGTGCATGCATGAATGACGCTCTTTTAAATCGGGCGATTTTGTGACAGAAAAGTGATGTAGGGAACACTGTAAGGATAATGTGGATCGCATCCAGAGGAAGTTGAGTAGTCAAGCTACATTCCACAATTGCATTGTGGGAATGTAAACATTACGAACGTTACCGTGTCGCTGAAAACTTGTGAGTCGAAATGACACATTTTACCATCGTAAAACATAAACGTAATGTTTCCACCAGTGATGTTAGCTGCGGGAAGCAACAGCAAACCAAGAAACTGGATGCAACGGTGTAGTTTACTGTAGGAGGCCGTACAAGGCGATGACAACTGACATGCATCGTGACGTCGCTTACATTGTGACGTAATGTAAAATGGTTCGATTACGAGGGGGCACACTAGAATGGCGCAGTGACGGGATAACGTCATTCAATTGTTACGTCCTAAAAAAACTATACCTTTATTGTCTGATAACATTTTTTTTTTTCGATTGTTCTAACCGCTAGGCATCTTAGAAATTCAGATACAATGTGTTAGTCTATCCTCAACCCTACTGTTCTTAAAATTGTACTTTTTACTTAGTAAAGTACAGATTCTAGTACTTTTTGTTGGGTTGAGTCCCATCCGGGATTCGAACCCACACCCTCAGAGTCAGGCACCTAATCGCCAGCACACAAAGTCAGTTGCCTAACCTGCTCAGCCACCGCGACTTCATTCAGAGGGTGTGGGT